TTGGCATCATGTGAATAGCAGAGCAAACCTAGAATGTAGTCTGAATATCAACAAAAAATCTCTCCCGAAGGCATGATGCGGATATCAAAGGATAGCACCGCCACACTTCATACCATCTAATTTCAACAATCATATTTTATCGTTGGCATGATGTCAAGAACAAAGTATTACAAGTTGGGTTGGACAACACATGTTTCGGATCGTTTCATGCTTCCCCATTTAGCTCATAGCATTGCTAAGCATTGTAGTGATTTAAATTTGACTGCTTGCTCAAGCTAGTACGATTGTGAGACGATTTTGGCGAAAAAATGATATAGTTCGTGCCATTTTGTCAGCAAACATCAATAAAGTTCTGTATAGTTTTCTGCTTCGGTTTTGCATTTTCAAATATAGTTCTACCAGGAGCTTCAAGGACCCAAAAAATTGATAAAATTAAAATTGTATGTCCAGTGAAAAAAACGAAGTTTTTTCGAGAAAAACCGGGTTTTTGTAAAGAACCCATATTTTGGTTTTTGTGGAATTTGCACAAATTTGTCCAAACCGGGTGGACCTGTATCAAATTTCTCCTCATTACATGTAGCAATTTCATAATCACAACTTGTGACATCTGTCAGAAAGAACGCGCGATCGAAACCGAAGCAAGCGTTACCAGTTAGCTTGATCCAAAGGTGTTCCAGGGATGGTTTCTATAGAGGGTGGACGAGGCATGACGTAAACATAAAATATGTCCAGGCGTAAGTAAAAACATATGTGAAACATAAACGAAACATATGTGAAACATATGTGAAACATATGTCAAACATAAGACAAAACATATGTGGAACGCAAACGAAACATAAATGGAATATAATTGAAACATAAGTGACACACAAAGCAAAACATGTGTGTGAAATTTGCAACATATGTGAAACATGAGTTGGCCGTCCCCCCTATGTCAAGCAGTTGCCAATTTGAAATCCAAACCTGGTACAAACCTGCAGCCAATGTGAAACTGATGTCTCCCACATGTTTCGCATATGTCTGACATACGTTTTGTTTGCGCAGCACTTGCGTCAGGCAAAAGTTTAAGATCTTATTCTGGGAAAATAAGATCTTAGGATTTTGACATACATAAAAACAAACAAGCGAAACACAAACAAAACATAAACAAAACACAAATGTAGCATAAATTTGTTTATGTTTTTTTTGTGTTCTGTTTATGTTTTGGTTTAGTTTTTGTTTATGTTTGATTTGTTTTTTGTCGATGATTTGCGTATGGCCTTATTTTTATGTTTTTTGTGTTTTTTGGCCATTTTGGCTCAAGGTTTTTGCTCTCTCAAGACGCGGCATAGACAGAGTTCACCATGTACATGCAACACGAACCACGGATTGTTCATCGTCGCAACACGCTCCGGTTTGTGTCTAATTCTTTTCTTAACGTTGTGTGTTTCTTACCATATACAGCACAATGACTTCTTTGGCGCCATGGCAATTGAATGTATTGTTCTGGCTGGTTTTGGCGTTTCTTTTACGCCGCTGCCCACAATTTCTGACACGTGCACGTGTGCTGAAGCAGGTGGGATACCGGCGAACCACTGCACGGTTGCGCACGAAGCTGCTCGCCCTCAACATTCGAGCTTTGCAGGTGGTGGCGCTTGCAGTCTTCCATGGTCTTGGTTTCTGGGTGATTCCGGAATGTTTGCTGACTTTGCATCAATATGCGCCGATCGCAATCCTGGGCTGGTGGGTTATACATGGGCTTGTCTGCTGTCTGGTGCTTCCTACACAACCCATCCATCTGGCGCTTCGAAGAAGCAGCATACAAGTTCCATCTATCCGTCGGTGGCCGAAAATGCAATGGGCTTTAGGCATGGGCATAGCGCTTTTAGCGGCCTTTGAGCCGCGAAGCTGGCCTTACTTTGCACGGCCGCGAGGTTTCTGACTGATGCCGATCCTGGCCAGGCCCTGGCATCTCGGAAGTGCTTCCAGTTGGGGCGGAGCAGCGCTGCATGTTTCCTTTGGGTGCTGCCCTGGTTGGGATGGCATGCTGAAGATTGGTTCATTCAAGCATGTCTCTTAACCTTGGTCGTCCCCATGATGTTGTGCCCATGGCTGAGAATGCGATTTGCGATTCGCGAGGAGTCGTCTGTGATCGTGCTTTACGATGAACCGGAAGACTTTCAGCAATTCGTGTTCACCTTTCTGCCGGCGACAGCTGCATGTGTCAACTGTCAACGGCTTAAGTTATGTGGAGTTGCAAGTCGTCCAGTCTTTGCTACGCAATCAAGGCCTTGTGCCCGTGGCGCTGCGCTCGTTCAGTGTTCAACAAATTTTTGCCGAGGTGTTTACAGCCTCTGCAAGTGGGGAATTTGCCGTCCCTGCAGTTCTGGCATACACGTTCTGGGGCAGAGTGTATCTGCAACGAATTCCTTGGTTCTTCCGGGTCACGGTGCGACTGACCGTGTCGCTGGTTATGCTATCATATCGTGGTTATACTTGGCTCATGCAGCTCATAGAGTCCAATTTGAATTTTGCCAGACGGTTTCAAAAACGCATGCCAGGTGAAAGATTGCTCGAACGATGGGCGTCCCAAAGGACTCTTGGCGGCTTCTTGTTGCGCCTGCTTGCCGTGTCTCTGCGGGACAATGTCTTCTTCCCTACAGAGATGTTGCAAACTGGTATGGTAATGCTGTTTCATTCGAAGGCGTGGCACGAAGCAGAACCTTGGATGACGGCTTGCAGTTTGCCGGGAATCCTGCAAATTTTCTCCTGCTTCTTAGCCCTACGCAGTGTAATACGTATGCTAAATCCAGCAGATCTGAATCAAGCACGTGCGGGCAGGCTGCCCGGATCAGTCCACTTGGCCATCCATTGGTTGCATGGTGATGCGTGGATTTCTGCAAATGATCTCGAGGCCAATTGGCGTATACAGAGCCTCCTGAACGATCTACGTGATTCTGGAATTGCATTGCGTTCTAGCTTTCGCCCGGGTGGCGCGAGTGTGTACGCAGCATCCTTGCAACAACCCGGTCAGAGCCTATGGCTATGTTGTGGCATTATTCGGATGACCTCAAAGGACTATGAACGCGTTAAACCCCTGCTGGCACAACATGGACAATTGCTTCCAGAACATAGGTTGGTGCTCCCTTCCCAATCTATTTTGCATATCTGGAGACTGGCCAGTATAAAAACATATAAAAACAGTCTGCTGCCCATGCACATCTGGAGACTGGCCAGTATAAACACAGTCGGGCACTGGATTTTCTGCGGCCAAAAAGGCGCGTGGAGAAAAAAAAATGTATGTTTGTTCGCACAAAAAAACACAAAAAAACATAAAAATAAGGCCTTACGCAAATAATTGACACAAAAAACAAAAACAAAACATAAACCAAAACATAAACAGAACACAAAAAAAACATAAACAAATTTATGCTACATTTGTGTTTTGTTTATGTTTTGTTTGTGTTTCGCTTGTGTTTTTTTTATGTATGTCAAAATCCTAAGATCTCATTTTCCCAGAATAAGATCTTAGACTTTTGCCTGACGCAAGTGCTGCGCAAACAAAGCGTATGTCAAACACAAGTGAAACACAGAGCAAACATTGTGTCACATAACTCCTCTCACCTCCAGAGAAGATGGAAACACGTGCGCGACAGTTGGGACACATGACTGCCAGAATGGTTTATGGATTCATTTGTGTTTTGTTGATGAGTCGTTTTATGTTTTATTGTGGATTCACTTGCGTTCTGTTTATGATGAGTTTCCGATGTGTTTATGATTCACTTGTGTTTGCTTTTATGTTGCGTTTACGTTGTTTTATGTTGGTTCTTTACGTCTTTGGTTTATGTAAGGCTCTTAGCCTCAGATCTGGTTCCTATAGACGAAGCCCTTTGGGTTTACCTAAGTTATCAGACACGATGCGCGCATTCTCCACCAGCCGCAGTTGCCTCCTATGCTGCCAACTTTCCCTTCAGCGGGACTGGAGGTAGTCAAAAAGTCACAATGGATATGCATGGCATTTCAAAAGTCAGCTTTTCAGATATGAACCCAGTAAATTGACAATACCTCCGGTAATGTGTTGTTTTCTTTTTGTCTGGATCGGGCAATTACCGGTTCGATCTTGCAAAACCACAAGCGGAGAAAATTCGACGTCGCGCCGTCAATTCGCAGAGGCAAAAAACCCATATTTTGAGTACGGGTTAGTATGGGTTAAATATGGTTTAAATATGGGTTCCAAAAATTCTTTTTTTTACTATATCAGAATATGGGTTTAGTACGGGTTAAATATGGGTTTAGTACGGCTTAAATATGTTTTTTTTTTACATTTTTTGGGTACAGACCCTAAAATTTTCATCCGAAATGATTAAAAACTGAAAATCCCGATTGATTTTTCATGTTTTTGTTAATTTTGTTCGATACTTTTGTTCGACTGTTTGTTGGACTTTGGAAATCCAGAATCATTTTTCCCCAATTAAAAAATCCAGCCATGTTTCAATTTATGTTTCTAGGGGTGGTTCTTGGGAAAAAATCGTCCAACGACTCCAGATTGACTGTGATCACACTTAATGTTGTCCGACATTTTCCAAGAGCATCGGGCCCTTTCTTGTGAGAACTGCCAGCCAAAACCAGCAGGGTGGAAGCATAATCAACATGAAGGGTACTGAGAGGGATAGATCCAAGGCTGGTATCAATAAAGGAGTTTGAATCGTCTAAGGGAACGACTCATGAGATGGCATGACACCAAGTGTGAGAAAAAGTACGGTTTTTTTCCTCAGTAAAGAAAAAAAAACATATTTTCTGAGAAAAACTGAGTTTTTTTCATAACCGAAGAAAAAACCGGGTTTTTGAAAAAAAACCTACAAATTGGTGGGTTCTTGATGCGCTAGGTAGTCAGATTTTAAATGGTGCCAGTCACCCAAGAAATAGTTTTAGCTGGGGATACCTGACCTTTTTTGCTTTGCGCCCGTTCGAGTTGGAAACTACGGTCCTGTGAGGACATGGGGCTGAATATCAGCAGTGTTTTAACTGTTGACATAAAAGTGACAAAATGACTGCACTACGCGGGGGGGAAACCACTCACGGCTTCTTGCTGCCTCCACCCACTGTCCGAATTGAACGAAGTCCCTTTCACAAAATTTACTCAATTTTTCCTGCCATTTCTTGAGAGGTCTGCCAGGTTTTCGTTTCGGTGATTTGCCAAAATTGTTTTGCCAGTTGCTCTGCGGACACCACGCCAAAATCGTTCGACGCCACCCAGGTTGCCTTGCAAGTTTTGCAGCCAAGTTGTGTTGTCGGATAGCCAATTGTTTTGTCCAGTTGTCCACGTGGTAACAACCCAATGCGTTGTTTACTTTGTCTCGCATTCGCGCCATAGTGTCACACCAATCCTCATCTGGAGTGCGAACCCAACCCACCATTGATCGCAACATTTTTTTTTGTACAACGTCCAGACGGGTCAGCTCGGATTGTGTCAATGGCATAGTGAGGAGGCCGATGAGAATCGTAGGGGAGATGATTGAATCAAACAACCGCAAGCGCAGCTTGATGGAGATGTGTTTGTTTGTAAGGAGGCGTTGGAAACCAATGTGCCCACGTTTCGACAAGTCACCTGTGTACTTGCGACCCAAATATTTGGGCGCAGCACCGGAGGCCAATACATCCAATGTTTCACCATTGATGCTGACAAACTCAGGAACACAGTCGGCACAGGTTGTCAAAAATTTCGTTTTGGACTCGTTCAGGTGCAAACCCACTTGTGCCAGTTTTTCACATAAGATTGGTATCATGTACACCAACTCGGGCAAGGTTGTTGCATAAAGCAGTAAATCGTCAGCATACCGTGCATTCGTCAAACGTTCGTTCCCGCCGACATCAACGCCATTAGTTGTGAAGTTGTGACTCTCGTTTTCCAAGAGGACACAGCTTGTTCCAAACCAGAATTGAATAGTGCAGGATAGTGCCGGGCTGAGGACGTCACCCTGTTTGATTCCACGTTGAATGTTGAAAGGGTCGCTTCCTTCCACACCTTCCACCACTCCGGACTGGTTTCGGTAAAGAGCCCGAAGAAGATCAATGTAAACGTTGGGAAGTCCTTGCGCACGTAGAGCACCAAAAAACGATTCGTGCTCAATTTTATCAAACGCCCTTCTTAAATCCAGGCTTGCCATCCACAGATCCAAACCCCATTCTAGAGTTTTTTCCGGTCATTGTTTCAAAGATAATCAAAGCATGTTCCACTCCCATCCGTGGCCGAAACCCGAACTGATCGAAGGGCTGGAAGGCATCCAAGACATGTTTGATGCTGTGAACCATTTTGGCAAAGATCTTGTATGCAATTTGTAAAGTAGCTACCGGCCTCCAGTGTAATTAACCCCTCCTGACGGTAGCGTTAAAACAAAGAACCCAAGGAGAGTCCTAATATTATATATATATATATAATATAATATAATATTATATTATATTATATTTTATTATATTATATTATATTATTTTATATCATATTATATTATATGATATTATATTATGTCATATTATATTATATTATATGATATTATATTATATGATATTATATAATATTATATTATATGATATGATATGATATTATATTATATTATATTATATATACGTTATTTGTGAGTGTATAATCATTTTTTGAAATTTCTGTGTTTGGACGGCGCTGCTTCATTCCAGGCGCTCAGGCGTTATACATGTTCAAGTCCGGTGACGCACAAATTCGCATCACAACATGTTGACAATGGTCACAAATGAGGAAAACAATTAGGTAGGGGATTCAACTTACACCGAGCAACCGATATTGATACTTCAATTCGTGGCTGGTCCACTTCACGGCAATGGCTCTGCCGGACGAAGTCTTCAAACAAAGGCGCTGGGGCATCCGGGTTTTTGGTGTGAAACGGGTGGCCATGCCAGGTGCCAACGGCCAGCCAGAGACATATCAAAATTTGACTCTCACCTATTTTTTGGTATAGGTTAAAAAAACATGTTCAAGAGAATGCCCGCAGTCAAATTAAATAGAAAAAATGTATCGCAGAGAATGTGCGGCTGATGTTGTTGCCAGTTGTGTTTTTTCTGGTTAAAGACGATTGGATCGATGTTTGCGGCGTCATATTGATTGATTAGTTTTTTTGGTTCATGTTGTTTTTACTACTGGTCAATGTTGACGAGTCCTGGGTGCAGCTGGCACTTTTTTAGTTGTTCCCTGGGATTTCGTCCGGAAGCATCGTGTAGGAAACCTGTAATGACAGAAATGCTGCAATGATGTGGGGAATTATTTGTCGTGACGGCGCAACGCATGTCCATGTGAGGCTTTACGAATTGGCAAAGGAAAACGAACCTAAGCCTGCAGAGGCCGGGGGCGCGTTTCTGCGTCGGAGATCGTTCCAACGTTTGTGGATTATAGTTTGGAATGCGTGTTTCGTGCTCTGCTACGTCTTTGGTGCATCCTCAGAGATTTTGATCAGCATGATACGCGCGAGGGTCGAAGAATGCAAAACAGATAGCATCGAACCAACCATCCTTCCCCACCTTATTCATAGTCCCGAAGGATGGTCCCGAAAAATTGTGCAGATTTGAATTTAGCAGCGAGCAAACGCAAAAAAAATTCAGTGAAGGTGATGTCCCACCTGGAGACATTGCTCTCCGGCGGTGACACATCAATGGTTGGTGTGTGGTCGCAAAGCCGGTTGAAAAAGAAAAGACTTGGACGGTGGCAGCAGAGCCAAAAACGACCGTCAAGGGAAAAACTGCTGCATGAAAGCAAACCAGTGAAACAAATGAAACAGAACAGACAAATTATATATCCTGAAAAAAACCCGGCCCGATGAAGATGGGTTGACCTGGTCATGTCTCCAACTGATCAAGCGGGGAGACCGCTCTGGCGAAGAAGAACTCAGCGAAAAACAAAACCAGGGCAAAACATCAACAACGGGTCTCACAAAACGAAACCAGACCAAGATCACGAAGAAACCCGCGAATTTAAACATTTTTTTTGTCTTGGTCAAGGCTTATCACTTTTATAATGTGGTGGTGCCTGCCGCTAACACATGTTTTTCACAGGTTCAGTACCAGACCACAGTTTTTGGAGCCCTTCTTGCTCATACAAAAAAAGTGAACATTGGGTTGGGGCCGTGCCGGCATCAACTGGTTTTGACACTGTCTCGAAGTTTAGATGAAAATAGTTTATATACATTTTCCAGTTTTTCTTGGCTACAATTGAAACATTAATAATGTGTGTGCGTATAAAATGTTTTAACCTCGTTGAAACTGTTTGCAAGACTGGAAATGCAATTTCGTCCGGATATGTAGCATACATTGCAGCGCCAATTTCAATACAAAAACGACGAAAACGACAAACAAATGGTCACATTTCAACAGTTTCTTTTGGTTTTCGGCGGGATAAAGCTGGACGAACCAAAAAATCTGCGTACCAATATTGACCACCAATTCAATGGATATTTCCAGGGGGACTCTTGCGGTTTTCGCAAGACATTTCCCATTGCACAGTGTACCTCCGCGTGTGTCCATCAACCATGATTTCTGGATGATAACATTGTTTGCCACCCCTCCTCTTTTTGCAAGAAAAAACGCCAGGCTGAGAAAGTGGAACCGGTCACCAGCGGCGATGCGGCGCTTGAGGTCTTCAAAACCTGCCAAACCAGACCCTTAAACCATACATGAAAGGTAATGAGTCACGAACTAGGAGTAGATCGAACTATGAGATGTTAATCCAAGGTAGTGTATCATTATGTGCTATCCACGTGTCGATTAAGGTGTTTTCTGCTTCGGTGAGGGTTTCAACGGCCGGAAATGTGGAAACCGGCCAGGGCATGCTGAACGACCTGCTGGCCGCCCTGCGGAAAGAACAGCTAAAAGATCCACTGACGGAAGAGCAGGCGAAGAGGATCATCCCATAGACTGGTCATGGCTGGTGGTTTACCCTAATGCCACGTGGTTTATAACCCGAGGTCAGTCAATATGGTGCGTAAGTGTAAGTATTAGAGATCCGCCATATTATTTGCAAATTCATTTTTTATTTTTTACATGTGGTACCATGTGGTAGATATGGTGAGTTTAAGTTTCGCCTGTGGCCATACCATGGCCATAACCCACTTGAAATGCTGCTGCAGGTGACCAGAACCAACGAAGCTGCAGAGGCGGCGCCGAGTTCAAGGGATAACGGCTATAGTTTTAGGTTATCATATGGCTATGGGTACTTTGGTACCTAGTGAACACCAAAAGTGCTGGGAAATAGGCGTTCATCCCACCAAAGCTGATCATATTGGGTTTTGACCGGCCCCCCATCTTTATATATTGATGGGTGATGCACTATGACACTTGTTCATACATGGTGAGACGATACGATATTAATGTTACTCCTGAGACTTGAGTATGTGTTCAATCTTTATGGTGATTCAATATGAAATTCTTATTCGTGACGTGCCGTTATTTTGAGGGGCGGGGTTAGGTTGGACATACCACGGGTCACCAACAATCTGGTCTTAAGGCTGCAGCTGGGGCATTGGTTTTCTGGAAAAAACAATCAGACATTATTCCCGCACGGAGAAGCACTTGTTCCCCTACAGTAATATACCAGCATGTGATAGGATGAATAATAGCCATAGTAATTAAAACACCATTATAACAACATCATGATGCGAATTCGATTAATATTGAAAAGAGTGGAATGACAGAATGATATTGATAACCATTGTCATTATCACAGCAGCAATCTCGCAATGACAAAACGAATCGGCATCGCAATGAAAACAGAAACCATGGTGACAAACAAAATAGTTATAGTAACCATCAAAATATCATAACATTACTTTACTTCGAGTTATCCCCCCCCACCATGACATCTATACGTTTTGTTACTGGCAAATCTTCTGGCATTCTATCTGACATATCTTCTGGCATTTTATCTGGCAAATCTTCTGGCATTCTATCCGGCATATCTTCTGGCATTCTACCTGGCATATTTTCTGCGATATGATCTGGCGTGTCTTCTGGCACTCTATCTGGCATATCTTCTGACATTCTATCTGGCATTCTATCTGGCAAATCTTCTGGCATATGTTCGGGCAAACATTCTGGTACTTTATCTGGCATACCTTCTGGCATTCTATCTGAAATTCTATCTGGCATACCTTCTGGCATTCTATCTGGCATATTTTCTGGCATTTTATCTTGCATATCTTCTGGCATTCTATCTGGCATATTTTCTGGCATTCTACCTGGCATATTTTCTGGCATATCTTCTGGCACTCTATCTGGCATATCTTCTGGCATATCTTCTGACATTCTATCTGGCAAATCTTCGGGCGTTCTATCTGGAAAAACATTCTGGCACTTTATCTGGCATACCTTCTGGCATACCTTCTGGCATTCTATCTGACATTCTATCTCGCATACCTTCTGGCATTCTATCTGGCATATCTTCTGGCATTCTATCTGGCATATCTTCATCTTCTGGCATTCTATCTGGCCGTTGAGGTCCAGCGGTGCTCACTGAGCTCGGAGGGTCCCAGGTTGAGGTCCAGCGGTGCTCACTGAGCTCGGAGGGCCCCAGGTTGAGGTCCAGCCGTGCTCACTGAGTTCGGAGGGTCCCAGGTTGCGGTCCAGCGGTGCTCACTGAGCTCGGAAGGTCCCAGGTTGAGGTCCAGCGGTGCCCAGTGCGCTCAGACCCTTGCAGTTGAGGTCCAGCAGTGGCCTGCGTGCGGAAGTTGGCGAAGAGCTTGGCGAAGAGTTGGCAAGGCGGAAGTGGACATGGAAGTGGAGGCAGAGGTGGTGGAGGAGAACGAGGAGGAGGAGAAGAAGGAGGAGGAGGAGAAGGAGGAGGAGAAGAAGAGCAACTCTGATAAATCTAACCACCCTCACCTGGCAGGTGGGGAACAAGAAATGACATGCATACAGAATCATACAAACATTTTCTGAAGATCAGCATGTTCGTTCCCAAAATCACCATCCTTCGTAGTATGAATATACCCTCAACTACTCAGGGTCTGGAATGCCGGTAGCTGAGAGATTTTTTTTAGCTAGGTCTAAAGTCCTTACTGAAGTATAATAGACCTTCGTGCTGGGAAGATGTTAGACCTTCAGGTTTTTACAACATAACCCATCTTCGAAAACAAATATGATATTAGACCTTTGGCCTCAATGTTAACATAACTTGATCTTAGACCTTGTCTGCCTGGCTGAATCTGCACATGCGTTTGGGGGGTCGGTCAAATAAATCTGTCAGCAAAGGGTTCCCTGTGATCGGGCGGCTTCATGCTGTGGCGACGCTGTGTAACACCCTTTTTCAGTGTGTTCCCTTGCATCTGTTGTCCAATTTTGTTGGAATCATCAAGTTGCGAAACATCACTTTTAGCTTTTGAAAGAAGAGTGACACGTTGTTTCACGAAGACATCCCCAAAGACTGACACAAAAACATCCAAAGGGAAACAGCAAAACAATTGATCAGGTTTCTGGATGTTTCTGGATATAAAATATAAAACTATATATTTTACAAAGATGTTGAGATATATTGGGTCTACCATGAATGTATTGTATAAAAGCAGCTCTGCTGCTGCATCATATGGATTAAGAACATCATTCTAGACCTGCACTGCGCGTCTCACTGTGGCCCCGCACCGCTTCCAGAAAGGAAACTGTGGTAGCAACCTGGGTCTGAAATCAAATCCTTGTTTCACAAAACCCTGGGATAATACCAACTTTGAAGCCACAACATGGTGTCAGACCCCCAGGTGTGAGGCCATACCTTCAAAACAAACAATGATCGTCTGCATTATTAAGGGAAATCATCCAGTTCAAAATTCTCCAAGCTGCGCCTCGCAAACACAACAGCATCCAAAGGTCCAAAAGGGAAACAGTAAAACAAAAAAATTATCAGGTTTCTGGATGTTTCTGGATATAAAATATAAAACTATATTTTAAAAAGATGTTGAGATATATTGGGTCTATCATGAATGCATTGTATAAAAGCACTCTGCTGCTGTATCATATGCGCTAAGAGAATATAATTCTAGACATTGACATCTCACTGTGGGCCCGCGCAGTGTCCGAAAAAACGCACGTACATGCACCTCATGCACGGTTGCTGCACGCTCAACATGCAAAGCCATCCCCAAAGATTCTCACATCTTGTTCAAATCTTGACACTTCCAACACTGACACAACAACATCCAAAGGGAAACAGCAAAAAACAACTTGATCAGGGTTCTGGATGTTTCTGGATATAAAATATAAAACTATCTATTTTACAAAGATGTTGAGATATATTGGGTCTACCATGAATGTATTGTATAAAAGCAGCTCTGCTGCTGTATCATATGTGCTAAGAATATAATTCTAGACTCCTAGACCTTGACATCTCACTGTGGGCCCGCGCAGTGTCCGAAAAAAACGCACGTACATGCACCTCATGCACGGTTGCTGCACGCTCAACATGCAAAGCCATCCCCAAAGATTCTCAAACCTTGTCCAAGTCTCGACACTTCCAACACTGACACAAAAACATCCAAAGGGAAACAGCAAAAAAACTTGATCAGGTTTCTGGATGTTTCTGGATATAAAATATGAAACTATATATTTTACAAAGATGTTGAGATATATTGGGTCTACCATGAATGTATTGTATAAAAGCAGCTCTGCTGCTGTATCATATGTGCTAAGAACATCATTCTAGACCTGCACTGCGCGTCTCACTGTGGTCCCGCACCGCTTCCAGAAAGGAAACTGTGGTAGCAACCTGGGTCTGAAATCAAATCCTTGTTTCACAAAACCCTGGGATAATACCAACTTTGAATCCACAACATGATGTCAGACCCCCAGGTGTGAGGCCATACCTTCAAAACAAACAAGGATCGTCTGCATTTTTAAGGGACATCATCCAGTCCAAAATTCTCTAAGCTGCATCTGGCAAACACAACAGTATCCAAAAGGGAAACAGCAAAAAAAAACTGGATCAGGTTTTGTTGCATGTGTGTTGCGCAATCACAGTGCAAAAAAAAATGACACGCTGTTTCGATGATTTGGTGATTGGCATGGATTGGCTTCGCTTTCACGAAGTTGACGTTCATGACATTTTGAGCCAACCATTCTAGACCTCACAGCGCAGAGGTCTATATTGATTTTTCCTTCTGGCGTTTTCCCCAATGTTTCCGTTGTTTGGGTAAGGGGATCACATATCTTAGACCTTTTCGGTGGACACCTAAGCCATTTTTTGAACGTATGTTTCAGACATACCTGCAGAGCAATACAACTTGATCTTAGACCCCGTTTTTAAGGTCTATTTTGAACTTTCCACTAGTGCCTGGGCAGTAGTTGATGGTATGTATGAATGACTTGGCGGTTCGCCCGATGAGGCTGCTGTAAAAAGCAAGGCGCTTGCTGAGAGTGCCTTGGCTTACGCCATAACAGGTTGTAAACCTGGGAAAAATCATCACCAATTGGAGAGTTCTTGGGTTGCTCCATTGTAATCTGGATTGCGCATATGGATGCTAAGTTACCCCCCCGCTAGTATCCACAGCATTTCATTCTGTTTTGAGTTGGCCCATTGCCGTTAGATGGGAAACATGTTCCAAGTGGCATTGAACTGATTTGCTGTTTGCATCGGAGTGTGTGGGTAGGAAAATATAGTAGGTTCCAGATTCCAACCCGCCAGTTTACAATTGATCCACATTCGCAAACGTGCCAAACTAAATATGTGTTTATATACCAAAAGTTTCATTTACTTCATACATAGGCATGTAATAATGTAGGCAAGCTATGACTAATTATAAGGCTTGTGGCTGGCTGTTTCGAACCTGCTATTGTTTTCCACCGAAAATATAAACATTGCGTTGTCTGAAAAATGGGTACCAATCATTGGTTCATCATCATGTTTCTTCTTCGTGTCACGGCCATACATGATGGTTTGTACCCCACACGCAACTATCAATTTGTTAGTCATATAAACACATGTAAATAACGGTTAAATATGTGTATATATCTATTTGTAAATATTATGCGTGCGTGCAATCGAAACCCTACTAATATCCAAGTATTTGTTGGTTTTTGTTGGCTACACCACCTTTCATCTCTTGTTTTCCACCGAAACATGCGATGATGAACCAACTCGGTTTTTTTGTTCTCGCTAGCGGCTGTCCTTTTTACCCAATGCTGAAAGTTTGTTTTGGTATTGAGGATTCGAAGTAACTGGTAACTTAACTTTTCCTGCCAGGCCAGGGCTATGCCAGCGACACAATCAAGGCCGAGGCTGCCGAGGCTCACTGATCCATGCAGGGCTTCACTCCCGCATGATTGGAAAAACGAGGAATCAATGGGTACCGGTATCATCCCCAAACACGTTGATATCACGTTGATTTCAGCTTGGCTTGCTGAAGAAAAAAATCCGTTATCCAAGAATCAGTGATGATAGTTGACCTTTTTGATTTCGTCATGAATCTTTTGATTTTTTTTGATGGTTTTTGTGGATGTAATTGGGTTTTCACATGTTTTCAACCACACGAATGTGTTCTTTCGGGTTGGATTTGACAGGAGAAACTTTCGGCCAATGCAACGGGTCGTTGTTAAAGTTCTGCTTGCGTCGGTTTCCACCAAGGGTGATGCACCGGGACCCTCCGCTGGCGTGGCTGCCCAGTGGCCTGGAGACGGGAGTTGTTTTCTTGCATCCTTGGCATGATGATGTCATTTTTGCATGGAGTTCTCCCATTGAACCTAGGGAATTGCATGGTTTTCAGGTCTCCTGGCAGCACTGCGCATGGCTGGCGACATGATGAAAGGCGGATCCTTCTGCACCATCGGAATGGGGGGATGAACAGCCGTGCTCAGCAGGTCCAGGCGATGCTGAGCAGACCGCGCAAAAGTAGGGCTGGAGGCCCATAGGGGGAGCTAGCGGAAAGGTGTGTCTTCCACCCAAAAAAAACTGGTACAGAACACGTTTCTTGGTCAAAAATCCGAACTGGTTCCAGGATAATAAACAATTTATGGATATTTGTGGGGTTTTGACTTAACCGAAACGAAAACATGAGGAACAAAGAACGGTGTTGGCTTGTCGGTTTGGGCATAGGTCAGAGAAAAGAAAAAACCTGAACCCACTGCTTTTGGCAAGCTTTTTACATAGTGTTATTTGTTGTCATTGCTAATTTTTTCATACTTATATAGTTCCCAAAAACCCGGGAACCCAAAAGTCAAACAGATATATAAAGCAAGATATCATGAGAGAGAGGGGCGAAAGATTCCGACCTGAGGAAAAGTTAATTGTTTCAAATCTTAAGCGCCGTTCTACATTTCTTGACCTCAAAAATAATATATGTGCTGGTTTGGGAAGATCATTTACATAGGTCCCCTGATAGCCCAAGACTAGCGCGGGCTTATACGGGCCCGTCGCGGGCCTGCGGGCCCACGGTGTGCGGGCCCGAGGGTCTTCAGGTCAGCATTTTATCGTGTATATGTTCTCGCATTCTATCTGGCATCTGTGTCTGGCAATTTTTTTCTGTTAATTATTTATTCTAGCTTTCCAACAATCCTTTTCACATATATTCTGGCGTAAACTGACATTGTCGGACTCGCGCGTTCTATCTGGCATATCTTTTGGCATTCTATCTGGCATATGTGTTTGGCACGTCTTTTCACATTCCTTCTGGCATTCTATCTGGCATAAATTCTGACAATTCTTGCGGCCATGCTATCTGGCATCTCTTTTGGAATTCTTTCTGGCATACGTGGCTACTGAGTACTGTATCTTCTCACTTTCATTGTGGCATTCTATCTCACCCAGGCGCTTGTGATCCAAGGACAAGAAGGAGGAGAGGAGTGGCTGACATAGAATCTAACAACCCGGGAACATGCAGGTGAAGGAACAACACTAAATGGAAGTACAGGCAGCACAGTCCCTGTCCGCGATGGTGTTTTATTCAATCAAAGAGCATGGTCACGCGGCATGAAGTTCCAAAGGTTCAAATAATGTTGGAACTTAGACAGTCACGCGGCATGATGTTTGGGTGATCCAGGGAAGCAAAAGTCAAAACAACCGCAACTCAGAAGCTCAATTCAGATTTGTTTTGGGATGATAGATCAGTGATGACTCTCAGCTTCCGACCTTCGCGGGCTCTACGGGCTTCGCGGGCCCTACGGGCCCCCCGCGGGCCCCAAATCCTTGAGCCCATACCGCGGGCCCCACCCGCGGGCCCGCGGGCCCGGGCACACGGTGAACCATAGCCGCCATGTGAAGCATGCTCAGCAGCGACCGGATGTTCTTGTTTGAAATAAACCTTGTTGTGGAATGACGGTGCCTTTCTTGGCGGATAATCAAAGTTTGACCGTCCTGTGACACAAAAGTTCGCCTGCAGTGCGCGCATGGAGAATCAAACACCATGAGCAATCAAACAACTAACGATGATTTCGATCAATTATGAATACGTGGCTGAAAGAAATTGTCTGAGGATCAACCTGGACAAGGTCAGCTAGCTGAACAGTAGTTGGGGTTGTTAATTATGCATGGTTAAAGCACATCATGATCATCATGCTTTAATTATATCTCAACAATCTCAATTCTCCTGGGTTTTGGACGGGTCAAGGCATTAATCAGATCATCAAGTTGTTTCCACATGAAAAATTGGGACCGATGATGCCGCGTGGACCGCCACAGGCATGAGATGCATGAGATGAATTCAGAGTTGAGATGCCAATGTGGAAAACAGACTGGCGGACTGGGGCTGGCCAAATGTGGATGGATCAAGCCCTTGATGAATCGAACATTGAGCGGATCTTTTGGGGTGAAACAGAAGGCTACGCGGCTGAGTTTTCTTCCATAGTGAAGTTGTCCGATTTTTTTTGCAATGCTGCTGGTTTCTTGACATATGTATCATGTGACCAACGAATTTTTGGGGAATGTATGGAAAGAGTTGCCTGGTACTCACTTGCAGATGGTTTTCAAAGCTGTGTCAACCATTCTGCGCCCAACATGCTGGTTGTAAATGCCTGTGCCTTTCACATCCTTTCGCCATGAACTTTGGTGGGAAAATATGTCCAAAATGAGCGGCCATCCTCAGCCCTTCCTCTATGGCTTGCTGCAGGGAGGACAACCTGGTAATCGTTGAGGGTTGAGGGGATGAACATCCATTTGCCAGAATTATTTGATGACTTCGGGGTTTTCAGCCGGAGCCAAATGACTTCGGTGGTGGAAGCTTAAACTTGGCACTCCCACTGCACACTTGCCGCGACAGGCCCCAAGGTGTAGAAACAGCACTCACAGGAAGTGGCAACATCTGAGCCAACCTGCAGACGCTTATAGGGCCTTCTAGAGCTAGGGCCTTCCAAGGGTTGCTATTGCTATGTATATATATATATATATATACATAGTTTTTACGTTTATCACACACGGTTGCAAGACATTTCCCGACCCATGGCTCTGTGCCACCGTTGAATCAACCGCATTGAGCTTCACCCGCGATGATTTAATAATAATTGACACAACCTTCTTCGTCATGGCGCACGAAGACAAGAAGAAAAGGGCTTGCAAGGTGTGATGGGATGGAGGGAGATGGGATGATATGGAAAGAATTTGTCTTTCAAATGGAGGATTTGGCCGGAGGTCGGATTATGGTCCGCAAGGATCCTTAGGTCTGAGGTTTCCATCGGGGTGGCTGGGGCTTCGGGGCGTTCCAGCCGTGTTGTTGTTTCAATCCAATACCTTGGTGAGAGCAGTTACATCTTACGAACATTTTGCAGAAATTTGGTGACAAGATATGCTACCGTTCTGAGTCGCCAATCCCAACTCTTGGTGGCTTTCCATGTTTTCCCAGCATTTTTCACCCGCCGGCGAGGCGGCCAAGTCGCGCTTCAAACGGCACGACGTGAGCGGCGACGGGCGGCTGGATCTGCAGGAGTTGTTGCTTGGCGAAGCGGGGAGACGGGGAAGGTTTTGGAAAGGATGGATATATGGTATGGATATATGGTATGGATAAAAAAGAATTGATAAAGTAATGGATCAATCACTAGTCCATGACATATATGATGGTATGGATTAACCCATTATCATATAAAATTGTCATGACTTGGGTACTAATAGTTAGTATATATATATGTGTGTGTATATGTATATTATTCATAGAATAGTTACAGTAGTCCGTAATTAATTACAATCATATAGAATCGGCATCATGATATTTCAATGGATTATTTCAATATTATTATCCATGAAATGTCCCATATTATTGTTTTTTTTAACACATGCTAATAATGGACAATGAGGTAAGGATAATTTGTGATATTTTTGATAATGAGTATGTAAGTACAGAAATAATAGCCATCAACATGGTACATATGGATAATATTGTCTATTACATGCTAAACATGCATCATGATATTTGCATATAAGCTATTTGCGGTGTCATTGGTACTCATTCATTTCTTGTGTTCTTGTTTGTGCACATATTCATATTTATCAATTTAATATCATATCGTTTTTTCTATTGTATTTTTTGGTTTTAGTTACATGTGATTAAATTGTGAATTTTGTCTTTGTTATATTGCATTATGATTCGATTCTGCTCTGTTATGCTAATTCTAGTTCTGTTCTATTGTATCATTTTCTATGATGTATTATGTTTGGGCGGCACCAGTGCTGGTGCCTTCCAATCCTTAGGGCTGCCTCCTCGAGGTCAGCTGCTTTTGCTACTTTTCCACACCCCTCTTTTTGCCGTTTGGGGTTGTGGTGCCTGCTAAATTGCGGCCGGCCCCAATTCTTTGCCACTCAATGACATTATTGGTGGCTAATTGTCGATCCCTCAAGAGTGAGGATCGTTTTCCCAGAAGATTACCACTATGGATTACATGAGGTTGAGGTTCTGTTCTATATATTATTTTCTATTCTGTTCTATTCTATCATATTGTATTATGTTCTGATGAAGTTTGGTTGAGGATCTCAAATGGTCAGTTCAACATAATTCAACACATGAATTATGTTGCTTAAAACTCAGTGGTCATTCCAATTGTGCGGTTTCCACACGCCGTTTGTTAGCCAAACGCATCCAAACAACCACTTTGTTTAGTTAAACCAAATTAAACCCACATGGTTTGCTCAACGATTTTCTTGTTTTAAACCCTCATTTTCGTTGATTAAAATCTTCATTGAATTGGTTCATGGAAAAAGTACAGGAAACCCCTATATATGATTCAAGTGGGGAAAACCAAGGCTTCCATTGAAGATTTTCGTGCCTCCCCAGGTCGACCCTTCTAAGAAGGGGAGATCCCAGCCTGAAGGCTACTCTGGGGTGGAGGTGGAGGAAAAATGGTGGTTTACCCTCTGGTTATTTAACATAGCCATGGAAAATGACCCATTTATAGATGGTTTACCTATTAAAAATGGTGATTTTCCATGGCTATGTTAAATAACCAGATGGCAACCAACAAAAATGGTGTTTTAAATTCTTGTAAACGTTAACTTCGATGTGGAGTTTACCCACCGAACATGTTGAGGGGCGTGAACCACGAAGCAGGATGATCAGGATGGGGATTTGCATGGGATCATTGTGGCCACTGTTTCTGCGGCTTTTTGTGGGCGAACCAAGCACTTTCCCAGTGCCTGGAATGATTGGAATTCTTTTGATGTGTTTTATTTATGTTTATTTGTTGTTGGTGGCGTTTTCCGCATTGCCTCGGCATTTTTGGCTGTTGTCGATTTTGTTAGTTGGATTTTTTGGGTTGCTTCCCGAATTTCCAGCCACTTATCAAACCATTTGCCATCTACCTTATCACCATATTCACCATGAATATGTGGTATAACCCATCCCCAACTTACTTGTACTTAGTAGGGAATGAGGAAATGATCCACAATAACTCTCAATAATAGTCCCATTCCCCCATTCCCACCCATTCCCTACTAGGCACCATTAAGCCAAATGTTTGTTTCATTGGTTTTACCCACCAGACACGTCCACTATCCACTATCCCAAGGGATGTTGTTGGTTAATTAAATCCGATGAAGCAACTATGACGTACCCAGCAACAATTTGACAATAACCAGATCATATCCAATAATAATGTAACACCCCCCCCAAAAAAAAAACAAAACAATCTATAATATCCGATATCCCATGACTAAGTCAGAACTTCCATGATTAGGTCGTTGTGTTTTCCATCTATAATATTCTATATATCAATATGTATCAATAATGACATAACACCCCAATATATCCCATGACTCTCCATGGTTAAGTCCCCATATCCACCATCTCTTTTAGGGGAAAAAATCTCCATATCTCCAGTGTCAGGACAGCGAGGTGCAGCGACTCTTTCGTGAAATCGCCGGGGTGGCCCAAGATTGTGGATGAAACCAAGCATGTTTTGGTGATACACACTGAGGATAGGAAATAGTAACAGCCAGTAACTGATGGTATGTATGCTAACCCGAAGATAGAAACCTGGATGAGGTGGATATTATATGATATTATTCAAATATGACCAACAGATCTTGATCGTTCCATGTCGAGTTTTTCTTTTTGCAAAACGACATTCCAAATCAGCAAACACCTCCGATAGATCCACCGAGGACGCCAACGCAGACGGGCGGATCGACTTTGGGGAGTGGCTCGGATGGTTTTTTTTGGCGTCAAGTTGCAGTCGGTAAATCATAGGAAACACCAGAAATAGAGTGCGAGACTGGACAAATAAAGCTGTAGAGTTTTTTTTTAGTGTCCAATGGATTTACCACATAATCAACTAGCGTTAAATTTTTGCACCACGTCAGCAAACCACCAAGGATGTATAGAAATGACCACAGGAAATTCACCAATAGAATCTGTTATGGATGATCTATGGACTCTTGTGCGCAATAAATGGTGAGTCTGCAATGTAGTCATGGATAACGGATGGGTGACACACAAGAGTGGAGAACAATCTGGGTATCGCGACCTCTGCCCGACACGACTGTCATTTCATTTTGCTATCTAGTTAATTCCCGCAATTGATGATGATAATCCGCAATAAATGGATGGAATATCCCGCCGACAATCATCAACCAACTGTACTTACATGATGGCTAGTCAGGGAAGCCATCCCAACTTAGGCCAGGTGGATACAACCAAGGTGGATGTGGATGATGAATATTTGCTGAGGAGTTCTGCTCACATGCATATACAACCACACACAGAAATATATATATATATATATTATATATATATGCGTACACTGTACATGCATGCATCCGTAGATATTCACCACCGTGCATTGATGCATATTGATGCGCTAATGTCTTATAAACGCAACTCCATCTCTATGTGTTTCTGCCATCATTGGGTCAGCGGCTGGTCCATTGACCGTTTCAGGTTTTGCGACTATCTTTTTGACCAAGCCAATGCTGCAGCGTTGGGAGCGCTAGATGATTGGAACGGGGGTCATTGGATGGGAATTCCCCACTCCCCGCTATAAAACAATATAACATATCTCAAACATCCTCAGGGAAACACTTTTATTTGGCCGTCCCTAAGGTCAAGATTACAGAAGGCTTGTCCTCTTCAGAAGTATGGTACTTCTGATGTGGACGTACAACTTTGGACTTCGGTTTGGATCTACGGCGTTCACAGTGTACGTCAACTCTGCCAAGCCATCCTTCGAATCCGGAGTGTTTAAAATAAACAGGTGACAGGTGACATTTTTTATCAACCAGTTTTTCAACATAAAGAAAACATAGAAAACAAGTCAGTTGAAACATGTTTTTAACATCAGTTTATCATCAGTTGAAACCGTGAAAAAAACTGCCCAGCAGAAACGTGGACCTCAAATCCCGATTTCGCCACGTCCGCCACGTCCGGAGAGACCGAGGAAGCCAGTCCCTAAGGATGTCAAGGCGCGCTGAGCCGGCGCCGCCCTGGAGTACACGAGTACACTGACGAATTTTTTCGTGGTTCCACCTATGATAACCACTGAGTTGATGGATAACCTGGGAAAATGTCTGAACATGTTGATGATGTTGTTTTATTTATATTTGTATTTATATTTATAACAATTCACACATCTTCACAGCATTGTTGATTTTTCATAATTTGGTTCATGGATTTGCCCAGGTGGATGTTGAATCTTGGGCTGGCTGATTGCTGGGATTAAAGCAATGCTGGCAATGCTTGTGGTTTCAATGCTGATCAGAGCTAGTCTCAAAGGGGCTTCTTAAAGGGGTGACCTCGAAATCAGACAAGTTATTGATAAGTTTTGAGTGGAAATCCCCTGAAATCAATGTTACTGTATCAATATCCCCTGGTACCATGTCATCTGACAAGTTTTGACCAATTGAATACGGGTTATGGGCTATGGGTGAACATTCACCGACCATCTCCTGATTTCATCGCTTAGAATTGGCTAAAGGGAACATCGACAGGCAACCAAACAGCTTTGGGGGTAATCAAATTTAAAGGCACCGTTTCCTGCATTTTTTCATTGAAATTCACACTTTATTTCTCTGGGCCATCTATACCATAGTAAGAGGGTAAGGCACGGTAAGCCATGAAAACAACGCTTTTCGAAGCCTTAAACGCAGGCTGCGTTTGAACACTTCCATGGCGTGAACGGGGCGATGAGCAGCTCTGAGTTGCTTGTTGTGATGGGCCATGAATGTGACCTGGGTTGGTGGCTTGTAGCCTCTGATCATTTATTTTTTATGGGCATTTTCAGTCCGACTGGGCGACAGTAACAACAATGAATGGACATATCATTGGAAATTGTGATGTTCACCCATGAAACGGTAATTTAATGGGATATTAATTAATGGGATAATCGGAGAGTGATCCTCTACAAATGGGAATTTTAAGGGGACAAAAACCAACCACTAATGGTAAGATAGTGGAAATACTATGGACCATCACCGTTTTTTGATAGGTAAATCATCTACAAATTACTATCAGTGGTCCATTCACCATCTTTATAAAAGCAATATATAATCGAACTAAATGGTTCATAAATGGTCCACTTTCCGTAGCAAATTGTTAATTACCAGAGGGTATCTCCAACCAAAAGGGCATACAATGGGTTTCAATCTATGTATCCTTTACTTACTAAGCAGTAAAAAGAGTGGAACGTGTCCCTTCCAAGTGGAGACAGTTTCCATAGAAGTTCTGATCCTTGAGCCCTGTTGGGGGGTCAGAACAGTTCACAACGCCTAAAAGCGACTGGACGGTGGTACGGTTCATCCGACGACCTTTTTTGTGGATGTATGCGAGTATCAGCAACCTGCAGTGGATGATTCACGGAGGCTTAAAAAATATTTTGTCATTGGTGCTTTGGAACTTCTTGGAATCCAGCTTTTCGTGCCATTCTTTAAAAATTGAACACCCCAATTCAGGAACCTGGATGATATGAGATGACTACGCCACTGAGGTTTTACAAGTTCTGCAAGGTGGCTTGTTGGATGGGGCATCTGCCCACCTGGCGCACAATATCGATGTTTTGTATATGCAGTTATTGTTTCTTTGAACTTATTTGGTTGGTTTTTTGCATGGACAAGTTCTGTTTGTTTATTGTTTCCTGACTGGGATATATATATATATAATTATATATATATATACTATATACCATACCTTCATTGTGTATGCTTTGCTTGATACCAGGACCATAGTGCCATAGTGACTATGCGGTTGCCGGGGCAACCAGCCGATTGTTGGTGAGAAACTCCGCATCATTCACTAGCCACATCATGTGGTTCAGCCATGTTCAGCCATCGGAGAAAGATACTGTGAAAACATAGTGTCACAATTTGGGCAGTTCTAAGATTCCCTGATTTGGATTAGCCTCTGGTAATTTTATTCATAGAAAGAAGATGGACGGCCCATAGAAATAGCTGATTTACCTATGAAACATGCTGATTTTCCGTTGCAATAATTGTCAATATACCCCATTTCTAATTGATTTACCATGACTTACCTTTCTTCGAACCATGGAGATTTTCCCATTCCCATTGAGGGCACATCGGCACATCCGAAAAGTTCTGCAGGAGTCCTGCCTCCACAACAGTTCCTTCCGCCAGAGCGACGCAGCCATCATTTTTTCCAAGGCCGAGTCGCCACGGAGCGTGGGAAGAAACCAGCGCAGCCTCATTAACTGGTAGCCTCTGTTAGATGGTAAATTAATTATATATATATAGTCGTTTGATTAAACTGGGCTATATTATCGGTTTATTTTTTTGATCACTGTTCTACATGATTTTAAACTAGCCATTAAAGAGCTTGGATATAGTTGGATGTAATTGACGATGGTTGATGATTAGCTCGGAGGAGCCGTGGAAGTGCTGATAGAAATAGATGATATACCTATGAAAGATGATTTTCATGAGTTATGTTGAATTTTCAGAGGGTACCCATAATATTTATATATAAGGGATTATTATATATATATATATTTGGAATATTGGGGATTATCGTAATCCATTTTGGGAATCCCTATTAAACAAGCAGCAGAATGGAAGGACAGAGGATTTTGACCACTGCCCATATATTAACCCAGCAAAAAGAAAGAAAAGTGAAATCCAAAATTAAATTCAGGACTGATACAGTGATCTTTGTTCAACACGATTGATCCATAGTCTTAACTCGGGTTTTGGGCGTCTCTCTATAGACTAGATGCAGATACCAGCAACAAGATCTGATCCTTCTTGCCTTCCAGGCAATATGCCAGCAGACATTGCTGAGGGGTATCCCCGCGATCCACTAAAGATTGCCATCAATTGGGGCTAAACACCATTCTCACATCCAGCCATCATGTATTGTTATTTGTTGGTGAATTTCATGCATTCCTATGTTCCAATTGTATTTGGTGACAGATCCAACATCACATTATATACCTATCTATATCCATATGTTACATCCCCATGATATGTTCTAATTATCACATTCCGACGTATTCCAACTATACTATACTTGGAACATGTCATGGGATCAGCTGTCTATTGGCCTATTGGAATGAACAAATGTTACATTCCCAATCATTCCCATATTTTTAGATTCCCACATGTTCTGAATGTGATATGTTAAAAAATATGTCCACATATAAATAAGTACACACACATATATATATATAATTATATATATATGTGTGTGTACATATGCAGTATCCACACATCAACGGGGCTCTCTTAAAATGGAGCATCCCCGAAGTTTCGAACGCTACCACTCCGGTTTTTCCGTGGAGGTGAAACCCAAGTCCCAGCGAGAGATCGGTGAGCGCCGTCCTGTTTGGGTTTCGACCGGCATGGAAAGCGATGTCATAAAGCACCCATATGTTGAGTGTATACCGGCCATTTATGGTACCCTCTGGTAAATTAACATAGCTAAAATCACCGTTTTTAATGGGAAAATCCACGAACTCAATGGTCATTTTCAATAGCTATGTTTGACATACCCAGAGGGTATATCCGGGGATGATTGGCAAATTGGGGATGGTGGGTCCTAGTGCTTTACCCACATTAGAAGCTGCAGCAAGCCACTTAAACAGATAGAAATGTAAGCTCCTACTTTCAAATAGTGGCTATACTTAACTCTTCTGTTTGTTTGGGGGGTTCGCTATGATGAGTTAATTCACCAAGACTGGTGGTAATTCTGCAGCTGTTTAAAGTATCGAAACATCAAGCCTAGCATCGTACCGCCAAGGACTAGATGAATGTATTACAACTGGTCCATCCTGATTGGGAGGGAAAAACATACAACCTCACTAATATTATAATTTACCCACATATATATATATAACATGCCACACACACACATATATATAACATGGTCCGGGTATTTTGGAGTATTAAAAGTGCCACGTGTTCCAACTACTGGATTCTTGAGCCATGGATTGTTTGCTAACCAAAACCAAGCAAAATAGGGAAACAAAAAGGCACATGGAAGAGGAAAGGCCATCCCTTCAATGTGTTGTGATCCTTCAGGGAGGTACCCATCAGCAACCCACCATCCACCCATAGTCCCGTGCCTTCTGCTGCAATGGATCCGCCGGGCGACGCTGCGATGCCTGGATTGGGCAAGTCATTTGGACCAAAGATATGACTTGGAGGGTGGATTTTTGGCTGTAAAAAATGATGAAACTTGCATGTTCAGACATAAGAAATTGAGTGGGTAGGAATCTAGATGAGTGCAAAGGCAATAGTCAATGCACACAAGACATGGCTCTATGCCCAACTTGTTCAACGCCGTGTCCCCAGACCTTTGAACAGAAGATATCAGAAGATCTTTCCTGCGGAAGCGAGTAGATCAAATTATCAAACCACTGTATCATTCTGAACGTGAGTTTTGTCATGCCAAAATAAAATGGGTCTGAATATGTCTTAATAACATCCTAAAATTAGTTGTCCCTCCTCTATCCTTATCCAAACACTGTTGATGGCATCCCAGTTGCACCCATGGTACCCCCCCGAGGAGCGAGCCGAAGAAGCGAAAGAAGGGCCCCAGGGACTTTGATTGGTCCAAAGCGACCTTTCACCACTTTGCGCCTGGGAATTGGGACTCGTCATAGCTTCACCTTTCATAACTGGTTGGTGGTTTGGAACATGAATTTTTTGACTTTCCATATATATATATATATATTGGGAATGTCATCATCCCAACTGGCGAACTCATATGTTTCAGAGGGGTAGGTCCACCAACCAGATAAGGTTGGCAGCTGACACCACCAGCTCAGTTGGTTGACACTCCCACGTCACCCAGGTGCTAAAGATTGCATACGTGGGCACGAACTACCATGGCAACGCTTGGCAGGACAGAGACTGGACTCTTGTCAAACCGTGACAAAGCGAGTTGTACACATTTTGAACACCCAGTCTTATCATCATGTTTCCAACCTATATATCAGCATATATACACACACATATATATATACATCAATCATTCATCAATCTATAAGTAAAAGTATTTAAATTTAACACATCCTAATACATAGATGTGTATATATAGATTGATGTAAATATATATATACACATCAATCAATGGATGGAAAAGCCCATACATCTTTATTTTTTCCAGGCTTTTCCATCCATTTTCCCCTATCGGCCCTTCGCATTTCGCCACGCGCAGGACCCCAAGATCTGCCCCACTGTGGAGGCCTCGCTCTTCGAGGCGCTGCTGAAGACGCGGCTGATTCAGGACGACTCGAACTGGGGACTGGGTAACAATCAAATGGATACACTATTATATACCAACAATATCCAACAATAAATAGTAATAATGCTGAATTGAACTATAAATTAATAGTATTTGATACTAGTAATAGTTTGATAGTAGTATTTGATAGTATTTGATAGTAGTCATAGTTTGGTAGTAGTATTTGATAGTATTTGATATTAGTAATAGTTTGATAGTAGTATTTGATAGTATTTGATAGTAGTAATAGTTTGATGGTAGTATTTGATACTATTTGATAGTAGTAATAGTTTGATGGTAGTATTTGATAGTATTTGATTGGTGGTGTGTATGTATAATAGTACTATAATATCTATTATGAGTTCAATCTACAATTATTTTTTTGGGTATGTAATGTAATGAGTATACCATGGGTAAATACCGTGTGTATATATATATATATGTATATGGTGGTAATAAAATGGGTATTATGCTGATATGTTATCCAGTGGTGGGTATATTTGCTATATTGGGTATCATACATACATACATACATACATACATACATACATACATACATACATATATATACATATATACATATATACATATACATATATATATATATTTACATATACATATATATATATATATATATACAATTGTGATTCAATGGGTATGTACTAGGCATATTATGATAAGGAACAGCTATATCAGTAATTCTTTAACCAGTGAGAATTGACCTACTGGCTACACGCGATAGACCGTTCCTGATGGAGCTGCTCTATGGAAATCATCTCACCCATTAATTAATTACTATGTATAATCACCCATTACATCATCCATTCACCATTATTAATCATTAATGAATAGAGTATATACACTACTAATTATCACCATAATAGTGGATCACCATTGATATAGACATATGCAATAATTTCTGGTGGTCATGGTGATAACCTGATATTGGTGATACTCTTGTAGTCTAATAGTAATAGTAGTCATAGTTACTATACCTTTGATATAAATGGTGATGGCGTTCAATAGTAGATACACTACTATCATGGTGCTACTAATGGTGATATAATGGTGATTACAACATTACATCACCATTCAAATCCAAAATGGTGATATGGGACGATAATAATACAACCATATGGGGAGATTTTACATGGGATATAGAAGGCGGGACCCCCGCCGTGACTGGGGAATAAATAGAGGGAACCTGTTTTTTTTGCAGAAACTCTTGGGCAGATCCAAGAGAAATGGGTGAATGGGGGATATCAAACCAACCACTTTGTGGGGATGGGAGGTATGATCCCATGTACCAAGAAAATATGTATTGTTTGTTTGCTTAAGATCGTGATGATCTATTTTCACCATGGGACACCCACCATGACTGGAGGAATCTATAGTATATGTAGTTTTTTATTTTTTTTGATAAACCCTCAGGCAAAGCCAAGACAAATGAATTTAGCAGCCAGCAACGGAGGATGTAGAACCAACCATTTATAGGGATACAAGCTGGGGACATAATGTTCATATATAAAGACTACCTTACAACTAACCAAAGCTGGGGATATAACTCTAGAACTGAGGATATAAACCCCGATTTACAGTATGGCAAATTCAATGGGGAAAAGTTTTTTTGAAATGATGAGCAATCAAGCTCAGGGCAGCCTATATTTAAACCACATCATTTGCCAAATAAGACATTTTTGCGCTATCCTAAGCAACGAAGAGATCAGACTAGTTGCACCTGGTTTGACTTCTGAAAGGGTTCTCAGTTTGTTGAGCGGAGGGGTGACATGCGGATTGGGGTGCTAAGTAATAATCCTTTCATCTGCTGGGAGATGAGTGCCATCATTAGCATTCCTTCTGAATGGCTTTATAGATCCCCATCGTTGATTCTCATTTGTCTCATGGTTTCAGGAAAGGATCTAAGGGAAACACTATTGTCAAGTTTAGTTATTAAGTCGAAGGAAACACTATTGGAAACGCTATATACATATATCTATCTATATATGGATATACAAAGACATATTGCATATATATATATATATACACATATATATATATGCGTGTGTATGTGTGTGTCTACTCTAGAACTATGGATTTGATGACGTTTTCCCCTACATGGAATATCATGGAACCAGCACCGTGAATATTGCAACTCATCAGATGTTACCATATGGTGGTATTCGAAAATGTGGGATCCCCAAGTCACCATGGGTTTACAAGTCGTGGTCATCCATGACTTGGATGATGTGGGGTACCCCCACGAATTTGGAAACCTCCACAGTGCATGCATATATATATATTATATATAATATATAAACACCTGCAGCAGTGCACACAGGGTTTAGCCCTATATTATCACATTTTATCATATTTATATATATATATATATCATATATTGTCATATTATCACATGTTATCACAAATTGTCATATGTTATCATATAGTGTCATATATTGTCATACATATATATATATATATATGCATTACCATTATTACCATTATACATATATATATATTACCATTATATGGTCCCCATATTTCGATGGTGTCCCTTTTCGAAGGACCCCAACTTTCCCAGCAGGACCGGAGCAGTTGCAACTTCTCTCGCTGCGGGCGCACGGACAAGGCGTTGCGACGTCGCATGAAGTTATGGCCGTTCAACTGCATTAGGATCATGAGCTATGGCGCTATGGCTATCCATATCATATCCCTTATTTTCTATGAAAAGCGGAGGTTGGATTGAGTTTCCGAACCAGGTTGTGTTTTTCCAAAGGAGTTGACTTTTGCATTTGGATGGATGAACTTGCTGGTTGGAAACATGCCTTCTGTTTGGAAAGATTGTGGCAGTGAGTGATCCGAGTCTCTCGTTTGAAGCCACAGCAGGTTTGTGCACCACTGTGGATGTTGCTCAATATTTACTACATTGCACTAGGTCAGTGAAACATTTCTTTATCATTTTTTATCTATAATCTTTATTTTGTATTCTATTGTTGGTTCCACGTTCATGTTTGATTTCATGATCTATCCATTCCCTGTGTTGATCTTGTTCCTTGAGACGTCCATCTCAACTAAAGTGTCACCATACGACGCTATGGCCTCACAGTAGGCTGGTGAAGCATCCATTGCAGCTCATATAGCATATGTATGGATTTATGAGCTGCACTGTATGGTATAGATACATTTATGTTGGATTTATGTTTGACATTTTTTGACTGAACGAGACCGCACTGTATATCCCGCCATATCCCACCCCACTTTCAGTATACGAACCCCCACCCCATGGTGACCAAGCCGCGACGGGCACAGGGCGTGCACGCGGCGGGCAACTACATCTCCCTGTCGCTGCGCCTCAAGCCCGGCGCCGACGGCGCCGATGCCGGGGAGGCGCTGTTAAACAAACATCTGGTTGGTGGTTTGGAACATGAATTTTATTTTCCCCAAGAGTTGGGATGATGATCCAATCTGACGAACTCATATTTTTTCAGAGGGGTTGAAACCACCAACCAGACATTCTTCATGGTGAACCAATGTTTAACATTGGTGCTTTGGAACCATGGAATTTTATGACTTTCTATTCAGTTGGGAATGTCATCATCCCAACTGACTACTGACTATATTGGGAAAAATCATCCCAACTGACTTTCATATTTTCAGAGGGGTAGGTCAACCACCAACCAGAATGTTTAACCAATGGTTAACCATAAACATAACTGAATCATAACTTGATTCGATATTCATAACCAGAAACTACCACAACCATGTTGCAACATGTTGTGAAAAACCATTGAACACAAGGTGAACTCATGGGATTTTGGCTCAAGACTCAAGACACATGATGCAACCTGGGTTAAACATGGCGAAACCAGCACAAATTGATGATTGGTGGTCAAGGATTCCAAAAAAAATCAAGATGTAGCCCTGTTGCATCTCTGTGTCCCCAGAATTTTCCCGGTTGATTCGGTTGATGTTCTCTTTGATTTGGGAATCATCCACAGTTGGTTTTTACATTTCCAGTTTAGGCCTGTTCGCAGTTTTGGCCTAGATTTCGCGGAACTATGCTTGATGTCTATATTGTGTGGTGTTCATGGGCGTTTTATCCATCTATGTTTTGGACACAAAATCACCCAAGTTCACAGTTCAGTAGTTTACTTCTTGGGGATGTCGAAACTCGGGAACAATGGATTCAAATGGACGGTTTCAAGAACTGTTCCTCTGATGAATTGGCACTTCTCGTGGTTTTCCCCTCCATGTTTTCTAAGTTTGATACAGTTATGGTCATTTATTAGCTATAACATGCTATAACTGGCTATAAATTATAAATAGGATTATACATTCTATAAATGGGGTTTTTGTTCTTACTTATAACTGGTATTTCGGGCCATAACTGGAGGAAGAAACCAATTTTCAAATCTGCTTGATCTGATGATCCACCCATTGAGACCATGAGGACTTTGATTATCCCAGCATGCTGAATGGTGTGCTTCCCCAAGACATCAGGTGCGACCCGGCATGCTGCATGGGGACCATTGGATGTGGGGAGGATCCACCTGGTCCGTTGATGTCCGTTGAGAAAAAATTGGGGCCAACGGCAATTGGAAGTATGCCAACCACTGGCGAGTGCAATGAGTTGCAAAGCTATCTATGGATAGATATTAGCTGATTTTGTGTGTGTGTGCGCGTTTAGATCAGCATATAGTCATCACATGTCATCACCATGATTTTCCATGGGCAGGGTCCTGGCGAGCTGCCGGGCGCCCAGCGACTCCTTCGATGCGCGCTTCTCCTGCCTCTACCGTGCCTATCAGTGACCCGTGGCCCCTTCCGGAATCTTCCGGAGCTCTGGCGGTTGCGGGTTGAGGGAGAATTTCGGATGATGTTGTTTCATAAGTGCCATTGGTAAAACACACACACATATATATATATATTATAAAATAATATAAAATACGTGCATATATATATATTCTATACACATTTATTACCATTATATTTAAGGCTATTTCTATGTCATTGAGATCTGGGATCTTCCAGGTTTTTCCTGTGATGGAAAGCGGGTGACCTCCGCGGGTGATGTGAGTTGACCATGCCAAAGCGTAGCAAAGATAGCAGAAATTCATGGTATTTCTAATGGTTACCCTCTGGCAAACTAACATAGCTATTGAAAATGGCAATTTATAGTGGATTTACCCATGAAAAATGGTGATTTTCTATAATTATATGATGAAGATTAGTAACTCTGGTAAATTAAAGCTTAGTTTCCATTAAAAATTGGTGATTTTCAGGGTCTATGTTTATTTACCAGAGGGTATATACGAATATCTGGATGATTATAAATTTCTACCAATTAGAGATAATCATATTAGAAATCGAATGGTATACTAATAGTATAGACCACTAATGATATCTAATGATTATACTAATCTGGTTGGTGGAACATGGTAACATGGCTAATTTATGACTTTCCATTCAGTTGGGAATGTCATCATCCCAACTGACGAACTCCATCATTTTTCAGGGGTAGGTCAACCACCAACCAGACAAAGACCAGGGGGAAAAAACACTTCTCCAGTCTGATCCGTCGTAAATCCTCCAGTTCCCTTCACCTTCCGCCCACCTGGGTCACCTGCATGTACCAATGGGATAGACAATGGGAATCTAATGGGAATCTATAGGTAATGGAAGAAGTATTGGTTGATGGTTTCAACATGTTTCAACTATTTTTCATGTTCAAGCATAGAAACGCAATGGTGATGCCCAATGCTGTAGATTCTGCACCCATTCTTGCCTATCATCCGTCCCATTCTTGTACCTCCCTCTTAGACAGGTGCTATATATTTTATTATTTTTATTTGGGTATGGTTCGAACATGTTCAAACTGCCTGACCCCATTTTGGGATAGTTATACAACGGAGTAATTTTGAGGATTCGTTGGGGCCGAAATATGGAGCCAGATCCATTTTTTCTTGTAAATCACCAGCTGTCGCTGCTAAAAAATCACTTTGACTTTCGCTTTCGCAGCACTCAGAGCAGGCGGCGAAAAAATGGTCACCACACCGGCGGCCCAGACGGCCACCAATAGCCTTGACAGGTACTACTTCCCCCACAATGGTGAAGACTTGGAGCTAATGCACCTTGCAGCGCAGCGCTTTGTCGGGGAACACGACTTCCGGAACTTCTGCAGCCCGGCGAAGGAGTTATGGGAGCCCTTGAAATCGATGTCTTTAAAGTGAGCTGGGAGAGATCTATGATTTTGGGAAGCTAAAACTTAGCCAACATCTATCGTTCTTAGTTCCTATAGTTGTCTTTGTTTTTTCTGTCTCAGTTCCTTATTTTTCGTCATTAGACACCATTGCACCCTGGTCCATGTTGCACTTTGTCCCCTTTGGGCGTGCCTTGCAACATTCATGGCTAAAGTCACAAAGAATCCAATTTGTTTCTGCTTAAGATCCATTACTTGATGCTGAAAATCCCATTCATGTTCATCAAGACACCCTTCATCTCGTTCAAAGTCCATAATTTTGGTGGCTATTAGACTCTTGAAAGTTACCACATATGTCATATGTTGATTTAACATCATTAAACCTCATATTTGTGTGGTCCTCAGCTCCTCTCAACTCCCAAATTCTTGTTTTTTTTTTGGGGGGGGGGAGGGTATAAAGCTTCCCCAGTAGCCGCCCCGGTCCCCATTAACACGACCCATGGGAACCAAGGCAAAATGGACATCGAGAACGTCTCCAACTTCCGTCGCCGCATCCTCTCCGCTTCCGTCGTCAACTGCGGAAATGGCGTGGCGCAGTTCTCGGTCACCGGGGTGGCCTTCCTGTGGCATCAGGCAGGGGGGGAGTTGGACCAAAATGGTGATTTCATGTGACAAATGTGGAGCTTGAATGATTTAGAGGATTTAGTATGATTCTATAATATAAACCATATATATATATATAAGTGGGTAGTTTCAACTTGGATTGAACCATCAAAAGCCTGGGTGGAAGCAACAAGACATCGGGAATAGCCATTTCATGATTTTATCTGACATGCTCCAGGGGGTCATACTCATGCCATTGATTCAAACCTCCATGCCTTGCAGAATTATATATTATGTTTGTAACGAACTTCACTGTGATCCGTCGCAGACCGTTTCTGAATGTCAAGATTTTGGATGTGTTTTGGCGATGCCATCCCCATTTTGTGAGCGAAAACTTGTGTTCATTTCCTGTATATATCGTGATGCGTTGATGTTCATGGCCGAATTCTCCCAATTTTATTGGTGAGCAAAAAGCCTTCAAAACTCCACTGGCGTTTTTTTTCCAGATTAGTGATTAGTTTCATGAAAACATAGCCCCACAATGACTTCACAATAGCAGGGCAGGGATATGCAGGGATCAGAAACGATGGGTTTATCACAAAAAATGCAGGCTATTTCCCATGGTATATTTCCTGCAGCAAAACGCCCTTCATCCTGGTGCCATGGCTTGCACCAGGTCCGGTGTATGGCAGCTGTGCTGCTGTTGATCGGAAGCAAGTTGGAGGAAGCTGAGGTGATTACGGAGCTGTTGCGAAGCCGGTGTTGGGAAGGGTTGTGGGTTTCGACCCTGTGGCCTGTGACTGTACCACATGTCAAATCACAAAGATTGGGGGTTAACAGTTATAACTTTAATAACAAGCAAAAGGTGGGTATCCACTGATATCAATCTATATATATAATTATGGTAGAAAAAAATATTAGCAAACACTTGCCCACCAGCAATAACAGCAACAATCATTCATGCTTGTTCAGCTGCCCAACAAATGGGATGAGAACAGACCATTTTGATGGATTTTGACTAGCAAAGGGTGAGATTTGAGCCAGGAAATCTTGATCAATTGATCAATTTGAGTGAAATTTAGTCATGTTTGCAAGACATTCGGATCTTGTCATATCTCCGTAAGACGAAGTTGTTGGTGGGGCGAGTGATATACGGGTCGTTTACCACAGATGGGAAGATTTTGCGGACGATTTGGCACCATTTTGGCTATTTGCAGTTGGACAGTTGGACTTGCAAGTTGTTTCTGGTGCATAGCTGCAATAGTTGGTTCACGTTTTCTCTGAACTTTTCAGAGACACCCAACTCTCCTGGACCAAGGTTGGACGTGGAGAAATGGCCCCGAAAGCCATTGTGCCTGGGCTGCGATCTGGCTGCGATATGGGGAAAAAAGATGGTCACAGAGCTATGGCATCCTATGGCATTGCAACATAACTATGGTAAGGATGGCCCATTTAGTTCGATGATTTTCCTAGTAAACATGGTGATATTCCATGATTTTTCATGTAATGATTTCTGCTAGTTTACTGGAAGGTGCAACTCACCACTTTTGTTTTTTTTGCATTTTTCAGGCTGACCGTTCTGCCTCCAAGCTGTTGTCATTGGTTGTTTTCTGAGTCTATTCCGATTGCTGCCTGCATCCATTTTCACATTGCCAGAAAATGGCCAGGGTCAAAATCACGATTCTTGAGATGCATATGTGCAGGTTTCCTAAAACAGGGGTACCCCAAATCATCGATTTTCAGAGGATTTTCCATTCCAAACCATCCAGCGATCCCCACTGAAACCCCCGGTGGATCCATGTCATTTTGACCCAAAAAATTGGCCCAGAAGGTACGAGCCGGCGGACGAGTCGGGCTTGGCGCCGTGGCGGAAGTTTCCGGACACTTTTTGCGGAAGTGAACAGGTTGAATGGCCATGGATTCCATACGAATCCAAAGGCTTAGTATGGCTTAGCTTATAATATAATATACGTATAGATATATAATATAATATAATATATATATATATATTTCGATAGTTTAGCAATGTTTAGCAAATGTTTCGCATGAGTTTCCCATGGGCTTTCCATGGCTTTCCCTCATGGCTTTTCGCTTCAGGTTCTGCGCGACTGCGGCTTCTCTGACGTCAGCTTCGCCCCGGGGTGCCCCGCGGCGCCCGCAGGAATCGTGTGTAACATATATATATATATATGGTTGGTGGTTTCAACCATTACTGGGTGAAAAACCATGGTTACTAATGGTTAATAATGGTTGATAATGGGAGAATATATACTGCTTGGTGGTTTTAAACATTTTTTATTTTCCATAATATATGGGATGTCATCCTTCCCAACTGACTTTCATATTTTTCAGAGGGGCTGAAACCACCAACCAGTATATATGAGTAACAAGCCATGTTAAATGAAATAGGAAAAACTGGTTTAATTAGGTACTGTAAATGTTAAATGTTTATATGATTATGGGTGTTTCCATGGTAAATGTTAAATGTTTATATTGGTGTTAATGTTAAATGTTTATATTGGTGTTGATATGGTAAATGTTAAATGATTATATCCAACTGTGGATGTTTTATTTTTCTCACTGTTTCGGGAATCTTCTTTTTGGGGATGAAGTTAAATGATCAGAAATGATCTCAAAAACATTTAAGTTCAATTAAGTTCAATTCTTTGGTTGTCCTATTTTCTGAGGGCTGCACCAATGACCAACCCTGGGACACCGGCTAATTCCTAGCAAGGAGATCCCAGCGTGACGGTGGCCTGCAAAAGTGCTGAAGAGGCCTTGGGTGGGCCCTGGGCTAAGGACCTATTAGAAATATATTTAAAAAAACACAGACACACACACAAATTGGCTGATCATGTTCAATGTGAAAGGAGACTTGAACCGCAAACATCATGGATCAATGGACGTGATGACATAGGATGACATACACAATTATGATGCTAATGAGGTCAAGCCAATGCTATAAACCATCCCCAATTGGCGTTGATGAACTACGGTATATCCTTATCTTTGCTAACGCCGCCCGTAGAGACGCGGGGTTTTTTAACGTTTTTTTACTGCGTTCATACTTTTTGTGGGTTGTCTGGGTGGGGGGGGTGGGGTGATGTTAATGTTCCTTGGAAGCGTTACGTGACATACGCTGGGGTTGGGGGGGGGGGGGTGGGGTGATGTTAACGTTCCTTGTTACGTGACATACCTGGGGTCGGGTGGGGGGGGGGGGGTGATGTTACGTTTCCAGTAACTTACTTCTGAGACGAGGTTGATGCTACGTTGTAACATCTTGTCTACATATTCTACACTAACTTCGGAACGCTCTGGAGATACGTTGTAACATATTCTCTCAGTAATAAATCGGATACGCTCTGGAGTACGTGTGACATCTTCCCTCCAAGTAACCTCTGAGACGAGGTTGATGCTACGTTGTAACATCTCTACATCTTCTCACAACTGATTCGGATACGCTCGGTCTACTTGTAACCTTCCTCTCCAGTCCTAACTTTCGGATACGCTCTGGATTGCTACGTTGTAACATCTTCTCTCCAGTAACTTACTTCTGAGACGAGGTTGATGCTACGTTGGAACATCTTGTCTACATCTTCTCACAACTAACTTCGGATACGCTCTGGATGCTACGTTGTAACATCTTCTCTCCAGTAACTAACTTCGGATACGCTCTGGATGCTACGTTGTGACATCTTCTCTCCAGTAACTTACTTCTGAGACGAGGTTGATGCTACGTTGTAACATCTTGTCTACATCTTCTCACAACTGACTTCGGATACGCTCTGGATGCTACGTTGTAACATCTTCTCTCCAGTAACTAACTTCGGATACGCTCTGGATGCTACGTTGTAACATCTTCTCTCCAGTAACTTACTTCTGAGACGAGGTTGATGCTACGTTGTAACATCTTGTCTACATCTTCTCACAACTAACTTCGGATACGCTCTGGATGCTACGTTGTAACATCTTCTCTCCAGTAACTTACTTCTGAGACGAGGTTGATGCTACGTTGTAACATCTTGTCTACATCTTCTCACAACTAACTTCGGATACGCTCTGGATGCTACGTTGTAACATCTTCTGTCCAGTAACTTACTTCTGAGACGAGGTTGATGCTACGTTGTAACATCTTGTCTACATCTTCTCACAACTAACTTCGGATACGCTCTGGATGCTACGTTGTAACATCTTCTCTCCAGTAACTAACTTCGGATACGCTCTGGATGCTACGTTGTGACATCTTCTCTCCAGTAACTTACTTCTGAGACGAGGTTGATGCTACGTTGTAACATCTTGTCTACATCTTCTCACAACTGACTTCGGATACGCTCTGGATGCTACGTTGTAATATCTTCTCTCCAGTAACTAACTTCGGATACGCTCTGGATGCTCCGTTGTAACATCTTCTCTCCAGTAACTTACTTCTGAGACGAGGTTGATGCTACGTTGTAACATCTTGTCTACATCTTCTCACAACTAACTTCGGATACGCTCTGGATGCTACGTTGTGACATCTTCTCTCCAGTAACTTACTTCTGAGACGAGGTTGATGCTACGTTGTAACATCTTGTCTACATCTTCTCACAACTAACTTCGGATACGCTCTGGATGCTACGTTGTAACATCTTGTCTACATCTTCTCACAACTGACTTCGGATACGCTCTGGATGCTACGTTGTAACATCTTCTCTCCAGTAACTGACTTCGGATACGCTCTGGATGCTACGTTGTAACATCTTCTCTCCAGTAACTTACTTCTGAGACGAGGTTGATGCTACGTTGTAACATCTTGTCTACATCTTCTCACAACTAACTTCAAAGCCTTTGGCAATGGACCTACAGCTGGCAGTACAGATACAACAATGGCAAAGACCTTTGGACAGCTGTGCCACATGTCCTGAAGCACATCAGAAATGCCTGAGTGCAAAACAGCCCGCGTCTTTACGGGCGGCGTTACCTTATCTTAGGATAATTTATGGGATACATAAAATGATCTTCCAACTGTGCTTTTTTTGCGAATGGTAGGTGAGCTGCAAGAATATCATAGTTTTAAGCTGCAAGAACTGGCGAAGATGACGGACAACCGGTGACCTCCCCAAATCCCATGGGCTTTTTGATCGAAATCAGAGTGACTCGTCTCTGGTAAACGTTTGATTAACTATATTGGACATTTTAAATCACCATTTTTAATAGGTAATTCATGGTACATCCACTATTTTCGACTGGGCCATTTTCAGTAGCTATTTTGATATAACCAGATGGTAACCATCATAGTTATTAACCATAGTTACCCCCTTATTAACCATCTAGTTAAACCAATATACACCATAGATATATATATATATATACCCTCTGGTAAACTAACATAGCAATGGAAAATCACCATTTTTAATGGGAAAATACACTATAAATGGCCATTTTCAATAGCTATTTTGACATAACCAGAGGGTAACCAGAGGTATTTTCCCATTGATTTTCCCAAGGCCTTCACGTCGATGCTGCAGCGCCACCTCCGCTTCGCCGCCGTCCTGGCCTGCCTCGCCGCCGCTTCGAAGCCCGCAGGGCCGGCGGGCGACACCGGGCCCAAGCGGCACGTGCCGCTGCGACAGAGCCTTGGAGGATGGCTTTGGGGATGGCTTTGGGTACCCTCTGGGATGTGGGGCCCCCTAGATAGCTTAGTTGGTTTATAACCCCATCTAAGTATATCTAACTATGGTTAGAACTACTATAAAGCCTAGTTATTGTAGTTATAAACCAACTTAGCTATCTTGGGGGATCTTCCAGCAATCCATGTTTGATGAAGGGAACATGCACTGCCGAAGCCGCAGAACTGCCTTTAACCACTGTTCAATTGTGGTTCAATCCTGTCAAATCGCCAGTTGTCGAAGTCAAGAACCACTGGTTGGTGGTTTGGAACATGTTTATTTTCCATATAATATGGATTAATCCTTCCCATTGACTAATATTTTTCAAGATGGTTAAAACCACCAACCAGAATAATCATGGAAGAATAGGAGGGAAATTAATGGCTTTTATGGAATATTAAGGAAAATGGAATAATGGCTTTTATCCTTAGAGCCACAAGTAGTGGGTGGGTTAAACTAATGGTACTGGAAGAATAATGGATAATCAATGGAATAATCAATGGAATAATCAATAATAATGATAATGGATAATTAATGGAATAATCAACGGATATTAGTATGGCTAGCTGATGGGCAATTAATGGAATATTGACTATTGATAATCAAGGCATATGATTTTGACCAACAATATTATATATTAATGGCCAACAATGGTTTTAACCAACAAGAATGGAATCTTCATGGATAATTCATGGATAACATTAGGCTATTAGGGAATGATCAATGGATAGCCAACAATGGCTAATACTGGAATGGTTAAAGTTAATAATGATTAGTATGGATGTTGATAGTGATTAATGATTAATAGGGAACGACGATAGGGAATGACCATCTGTAGTTAGGGATATTAGGACCATGGACCAATCGTATCCAATAATCATATACCCTCTGGTAAACAAACATAGCTATTGAAAATGGCCATTTATAGTGAGTTTTCCCATTAACAATGGTGATTTTCCATAGTTATGTTAGTTTACCAGAGGGTAATATTGATGGAACATTGATAGCCAACAATGCCTATAATTATAATAGTTAACGTTAATAATGGTAATACATAGTAGATGTCAATAGTGACCCATTACGTTGTCTCAATCGTTGCTCAACCAAAATTATGGTGAACACATCTGAATATAGATATTATAATTTGCCAATATCATGACTTACTAAGGTTAATGAATATATAAACATATGTAAACCATTGACAACTCAAGGTTTACTCAAATATATTGGGGGTTGTGATTATTGTTGATGTTGGTATGACTGGGGCAATGATTATGGGTAATTATGATGATTGCAGAAATTGTTTGGGGTACAACTTCCATCATAGATTGGTCAAGGCCATACACTCTATCTTCAATAAAAACTAGTTTTCCCATACAAGAACAAAGGTTCCGATAATTATGCCAGAACCTGTGTCCAATCAATATTCCCGGAATATCTACGAACATTTTTCTATTTGGGTGGTATGGATCTTGTGTGTCTCGGACCTTCAGGTTTCGTGATCATTTCTCGCAACAGCCACGGGTTGCTGGCCTCCTTCATAATTTAATCACAATAAAACCCAAGCTAAATCCATCGTTTTGCATCTTTCAAATCATGGTTGCTTATCACTTACTGTGTAAATATATTTATATATATATATACAGTGTATATACATATATATATATATGTGTACATACCGTAGTTGCACAGGTTCCCTTAAAGACGGAATCGCTCCAAGGCGAGCGCTATGCCCTTCTCTGGAAGAGAAGCAGCAGGCCATGGCCGACAAGCGCCGTGCAAAGGCGATGGGTAGGGCCCGGGTAGGGCCATGGTACTGCGAAAACCCAATGGGAGGCCCCAAAAGTTGGGAGATGGTCAGAGTTTTCAGAGTTTTGTTTGTTTTTCCCCAACAGCGTAAGCTAATGGGGTCAAAAAGCCCAGAATAGCTCCGGTGTGGACTGGTGCAGGCGCCGGGTCATGTTCCGAAGGTTCCGGAGAAGGTCTGGGAGGCTTTGGTGCAGAGCCAGGTCAGGCTCAACAGGGATCCGGAGAAGGTTGCGGAAAAGGAGGTTTTGGGAATCTTTGGTGCAGGGCCAGGTCAGGTTCAACAGGTTCAGCAGAGGGTTTCCAGCGCTTGGGTTCGCAGCACGCTTCGGAGAGATTTGTATATAATTAAAAATACAACGTCGCGGCTGTTGGGGAAAGCTTATTTTTGTTTTTCCCCGGCATAGTTTGGCCATGAAATGCAATGAATTGAGGGAATTTTCACATATTTGAACATATGATGAGAGGATTGTTTTAAGCAAGAACTGGAGGATTTTGTCCATACACATCCAAAATACGGGGTGTCTTCATAGTGGATTGCCATGGATTTGCCATTTGTGTCATGGTCAAAAATGGGATACATATGACCAGCCAATACTTGGGGATCATGCCATCATCCACAGGGAATGATGTTGGCCAACAGGTTTCCCACAATCGCTACTCTCGAATATTGATGGTGCATCTATCGTCAATCATGAGATGGTATACTCAAGATTCTGCTCGGCGAGGTTTTGCTGGTAACTACAAAGAGATAAAGCGCAAAATCCCTTCATGTCTTGACTCTTGACCATTCTTGACCTGTATCCTTCATGATTATTCAGGAAATTTCTGGATATGTCCTTTGGATACTTACAGTATCGATAAAAATTAATCATTCAATTGACTTTGCAAATTACCTGACATTAATAACTTTATACATGATTTGGATATCCATTGTCCTATTTTGTCCTTCAGTCTTCGGCAACTTTCGACTCATTTCACTGCGCAGGCCACGGCGCAAGACGACGCTGCGCCCGGATGACCCGACAAAAATCCGTGGGGTGGATCCGGTGACAAAGTTGAGGGGGTGCAGCGTTCAAAACCGTGGTTGGTTTCATGGGTAGAGGGGGTTTTGTTCTACCCAATAGATGTGTGTATATATATATATACAGATATTTTTAAAAAATATATATATATATGCATATATATATATATATCTATTTACATGATTATTGTATCATTTTAAGCATGAATGGAATGATGACCCAAAATTTCTAGAAAAAACTGGACTATAGCAACAAGAGTTGTGATTCAGCCAGCTGACAGGAATATCATTGGTGAATCAATCAAGTACTATGGGAAATGACATGATGACATGCACATACAAATTGAACCAGCGCGATCGGGTGTTTGAATTGCAGCTCCGCAAGCCAACATATAGGTGTTTCCAAACATGGGGGTACCCCTTTTAAAAAATCAATTTATAGATGGATTTTCCACTTTTTTCACCATCCAGCTATTGGGCTACGGAACCCGGTTCCCCCCATATATTTCAGAGGTGTTCAGTACATATGGCTATCGTGGACCATGAGAAGCCATGATCTGCCAGGCATCCGACACTTCGCCGAGGCTCTACGTCTCATCGTTGGGCGACCCATGGGATCTGATTTTCGATTTCATTGCGGAGTGCATACTGGGATATCATATTAATTACTATAATTATTATTGTATGATCACGTATGTATATATATATATATATTTATATCATATCATATTGTATCATATTGTATCATATCCAGTTCCTAACCAAGTTTCACCGCCTGAAATTGGGAATTTCGTCAGCAAAAGCCCCGATCTGGGAGAGTTGGGACGAATCCCGTCACAAGAAATGATGTGTGCCTATTTTCAGCTGGATATAGCTGGACCAATGGATGAGTGTTTACGAAAAATCATTGTAATTGATCCAGATAATTCCAGATATATCCAGATGAGCGGTTGATATTTTCAAACATGACCCCGTCGATGTAGGCTGAAACTTAACATGCTAAGAACTTGGGTGAATGAGTTGAGATATTTGATGATTGTACCATTGGTTGCACATGATTATTATTATACATGATTAATACCTGATTATACCATTTATTATATCCTAATTTTAGGAAGCAGTACTCTGATGGTTACGTGCTCGGATTCTGCAATCCTGAGAGTTACTTACAGCCTCGTCGTTGCTGGGACAGCCCTGGTCATCCCACTTAAGTAGCACCACATAGCACCACCCATTTACAAGCCATATATCACTGGGAATATTCCACCTTGAACTGGGTGAATCTGGGTGCTGGTTTTTCCATGTTTTTCCGAAAGGTTATATAGTTATCCCATACTATGACCCATACGAGGTGAGACAGTTGCATGAACTTCGCTATTTGGGCCTCACTTTGTAGGATATGGTTAGAACAACTACTAGCAACCTCTGAAAAGATAAGAACAGTTGGACCCCTGGAAATTCGGACACACACCCATATGCTCAATATTTACCAACATTTGCCTTTTTTAAATCACCCAGTTTTGGAGGTAAATATACCAGCACCATGGAGCATATGGGAGATATTTCAGAATCTCCCGATCGTTTTCCTATGGTTTTCCTATGGTTTTCATATCGTTGTCATATGGGATATACCGAGCTTCTGGTGCCACACGTTTCGGTTTTTTTTTGGGGACGAGCCAAGGCTGACAAGCGCGGCTGTGATGTGTCGGAAGTGTATCAGGCGCATCGCGCAAAGCACTACTCAGGGGGGATGTGTGGATGTGAGATTGTGCTTTCAACCGAAAACCATGGATAATTATATAATATAACTTTGTATATCCAATCATTTTTATTTTTTTAATGTATATATATAAATATACACATATGTATAACACATGTATGTATATAACACACACATATATATATATATGTACATATACACACATATATATATATACACACCATATATATATATATACACCATATATATATACACACTATATATATATAGTATAACATGTAAATATTTATACATACCTATATATATATTTAACTGTATATGCCATGGGATGTATGATAAAGCTCACCCACGATATGCGGTCCTTGCTCGTTGGATCGTATCTCAGAGGGATGGTCAGTGGTTAGGTGACCCGAGACCCAGACACCACCTTATCAGGTTTTTATTAACCATGGGTTGTTTGGGTTGATTTTTGACATTATTTATTCAAACATAAAAAATGACACAGTGGTTAGGTGGTTGTTTTTTTGAACGACCAAACCATGTCAAAATCAACGTCTTCTTACACCACCACTTAGTCCTACTGAATGTTTGGTCTATGTCCATCTATATTTCCCTATGTTTAGCCCAAAAAACATTCCAAAAGCAAACGTAGGCAAGGTAGGCAAATATATATATATATAAATATACACCGTTGGAAACCCTGTAATAAAAGCCTTTCTTGGATGAGATAACTTCTGGTAAAGTAACATAACTCCGGAAAAGCACCATTTTTAATGGGTAAATCATGGTAAATCAACTATCTCTATGACCATGTTCAAGTTCGCAGACTGTTAGTCGAGGGTAACGCCCATACCATCGTAGGCTCTGGCCATCTTTGAAGATCATGAGGCGCGCTGGGATCACCATGGCTGTGCTTAGAACCTGCCGTTGATACTGTCGATGGGCCAGCGAAATCCAAATCACCAGTTGATAGATGGTAAACATTATATGATGTATGATTATCCATTATTTATATCCCCCCAAAAAAATCCACTCCATTATCAGGACCCCCGGGGGTCCGCCAAAACCATTTTTTTGGACAGCCTAAGTGCCTGCAAGGATATGCAATTACAGGTTCCTGATTTTGGAGAGGGAACATGTTGTAGTTGGCTGAAGCTGTAGGTTCCTCATTATGTAGAGGTTTTGGGGTGTGTCAACATTCATGTGCATAAATATATACAAATTATATTGATGTTACAAAAACTGGAAATGTGGAACAGGAATTGCCTCTACCAAAATGGATTTTGTAAATTTCAGGGTTTTCAGGGGAGACCAAGGTTCTTTCACATCACCCCTCTACAAAACGGATCTTTGTATTTTTGAGGGCTTGCTTTATTCCAAGTAGCAATTCTGCTCAAATGTGTGCTCATGTCAGGTTCCCCACTTTGTAGAGGCCAGTGGTTCTGAAAATCACAAAAGTGCACCAAAAAAAAAGGGGGTTGGGTGCCCTGATTTTGTAGAGAAAACCCCTTGCTAGATTTGTGGCAGGTTCCTCATTCTGTAGAACCCTGGGGCCCCAACAGCCAGATTTGGCTCTACAAAATGGGGACACCCAACCCCCCCAGGTCATCTTTTGGGGATAGATTTATTTATTTATAGGGTTTCAACCATCCGTTTGCAGGTGCAGGATTTCGCAACCATCCACAGTAGTTCACCATTAAACATTAATAACCATGATTGACCAATATTAACCAATATTAACTATTATTAACCATTATTAACCAATATGAACCAATATTTACCAATATTTAACCAATATTAACCATTATTAACCATTATCAACCAATATTGACAATTATTGACCAATATTAACAAATGATTATGTTTTTTCAAGGCCCCAGTGGACCAAACGCCGAAAAAACCGTTTCAGGACCAGGTGGCGCCCACCTGGTTGGGAAACTCAGCACAAGTTGCGCCGCACCACCCATGATGTTTTTTGGGTGTATCTCCTAATTGGACTTGTGCAGTACCTTATAGAATATAGTATAATATAGTATGTTACAATATAATATGACATAATGTCTTAGATAGTACTGGGTGAATATACAACATTGAATTGGTATTTTACCTATACTATAGTTACTATTTGGGTGTAATATCTTACGATACATGTATATATAATATGAGTTGATATAGCATAAGAAGTTATACACATGTTTTAATATAACCTAGCATGCTATACTACAATTTACTTTAGCATAATAATGTACTATAATACAATAAGTGTACATTACGAAAGCCATGGATCCTTGATCAGGTTGAATCAGGTTGCACCATATTTTCTGGTGATGTCCAAAGATATGTTCAGCTCAAACCTGATGATAATTTCCAAGGACTATGTTTCAGGGTGCCTCAACCAGCAAACAACCCTCGATGTTGTTGTCAAATACCTCAAGTGCACGTTTGTGCCCTAGAAAAACTCGGAATAAATTAACAACTTGGGGAATTATATCACTTTTTTGGACAGAACCATGTTTGTTGTTTCTTTTGTCCCAGCCTGGATCCCTTGCTGCCAAATCACGAAAGAATAAAAGACGAGAGTAACAGAGTAGTTGGAGAACAGCGAAAACATGTTGGCTCCAAAGTGTTTGTTCAATCGGTTTAATTCCTTCCTCCAGGTGTTCTTCAAAAGATCGCCCTGTCAACTGTACAAATTGTAGTTCTGTCGGTGGATTCATCTTCCTGGGTTTGTCTCGAAATATGTTTGCCCAAAAATTTGAGAGTTTTTTTTAAGTTTTGAAGCTGATTCTTGTTAACATGGCCGTAAATTAGGGTGTAGCCTATTTTTGGACAAACCAATATTGACAGAGTGGTATTCCCATATCATATCCCCACTATATCCCAATATGTATATTTTCCAAGACATTTTAGCAAGGTGAGACCCCCATACCCACCATAAACTGCCATAAACCATAGAATTCACCAAGTTGTAATTCCAGGGGTGATCATATCATATCCCCACTATATCCATCTATATCTATCTATTTACATCAAATATTCCATATTTTTACGACGTGTTTCCCAACATGTTGTCCACATATTATACACATTTCAGTTCTCAGAGGTGCTAAATCCTGCCTCCACACCAGGTCCAGACAGATGGATGCCTTCGAAATTGCCCACCGGAAAAAATTCAAAGCGTCAAAGCAGGACCCAACCCGGAAAAAAGGGCAGGTGAATCCCATTGTAAATCTGCAGGTTCTAAAGTAAAATGACATAATGTAGCCAGAATATGCAAAATCTATGATGACTTTTCTATTATATATATCTATGACTTC